ACTGTCCGCATACCTCAAGGGACTGTCCGCATACCTCAAGGGACTGTCCGCATACCTCAAGGGAACTGTCCGCATCCCTCAAGGGACTGTCCGCATACCTCAAGGGACTGTCCGCATACCTCAAGGGACTGTCCGCATACCTCAAGGGACTTTTCGCATACCTCAAGGGACTGTCCGCAGAACGGGAACGGAACGGCGTTCCTGTTTTGGGAAAGGTACAGGAACGCCCTCCCCATGCATCCCTTGAGCACTGGAGCCCTTGTTTTTCTTCCTTCCTGGATTTCTCTTGTCCTTTCCCCTAAAACAACAACAAAAGAAAAGAAAATAATATAACTTTTCGTTAATTTACTATAAAAATCCCTTTCGTTCTCACTTCCTCTCTGATCTTTCCTTCCCTAACCCGTGTTTTTTCAGACCCGCATGCTGCCATTTCTTACCATTATTTGCGATGGGGCCATCAGTAATACTCTTACGGTGCAGTGCTACAGCTGTCATTTACGTTGCAGGTAGAGCATTGAACCATCCTTGTTTATCCGCAAGTATAATGAAATTGGGTTGACACTCGACTTGACAAATAGAAAGATTGAAGACCAACCCCCACAATGACATCGGGTTGAGACTAGACTGAACCTGGAGGGTGAACCTGGAGTATGGTGTTGCGACCACCCCTCCATTATGCATGAATTTCACTTGGGCATGCATCTGGTGGTCTAACCGTTGTAATACAGACCTCGGTGGATGGTTCAGTTAACCGCTGTTGTACAGACCTCGGTGGATGGTTCAGTTGACCGCTGCTGTACAGACCTCGGTGGATGGTTCAGTTGACCGCTGTTGTACAGACCTCGGTGGATGGTTCAGTTGACCGCTGTTGTACAGACCTCGGTGGATGGTTCAGTTGACCGTTGTTGTACAGACCTCGGTGGATGGTTCAGTTGACCGCTGTTGTACAGACCTCGGTGGATGGTTCAGTTGACCGCTGTTGTACAGACCTCGGTGGATGGTTCAGTTGACCGCTGTTGTACAGACCTCGGTGGATGGTTCAGTTGACCGCTGTTGTACAGACCTCGGTGGATGGTTCAGTTGACCGCTGTTGTACAGACCTCGGTGGATGGTTCAGTTGACCGCTGTTGTACAGACCTCGGTGGATGGTTCAGTTGACCGTTGTTGTACAGACCTCGGTGGATGGTTCAGTTGACCGCTGTTGTACAGACCTCGGTGGATGGTTCAGTTGACCGCTGTTGTACAGACCTCGGTGGATGGTTCAGTTGACCGCTGTTGTACAGACCTCGGTGGGTGGTTCACGTGCAAGATGTGAAGCAAGCCCATCACCTCGCTGTGTTGTTGGTTTCATTATCGCAAACACTTGACAGATGATTCGTATCTTCTGTTTGCTACCCTTAGGCGTAGATCGATTGTATACAGGTTATTCACCTGCGGGTTACCTTGCACAAATTACTTCAGTTTAGTGTGATCGATAGGACAGTAAATTAGTTGGTAGTGATCGGATGTGGTGCTTGAATACATTTGAGACCACACTCCGCCAGTACTCACCCATCCCTTTGGCTAGACCGTGTTTATATGTTGTGTTATGGTCACATCCAGCCTGGCGTGTTTCAAGAAAAATTTGGCCTGGAACGTTTGTCTTTTGAAAGTCAGAATGCGACTTGATGCTCCGTGAATTCATTTAGCAGTCGATCCATCTATATGTCCGTCCATCCATCCATAGTTACGGTCATCCATATTATCGACCATCCATATATCCGTCCATTCATATGTCCGTCCATCCATTCGTCCGTCCATCATCTATATGTCCATCCATCCATCTATTTGTCCGTCCATTCATCCATCTTTTTCTTCACTTTGGTCCGTCTGATCGGACTATATGTCAATGTGTCTTTCTGTCCTACTGTGTGCCTTACCGTCAACATATGCACCCATCCATCAGTTCGTCAATTGCTGTGTTCAACATTAACCTTTGAACAATGAACGAGATGTCTTCCGCGTGGGTTAACGCGCTTTCTAAGCCACTGATACAGGGTATTATTGTCCAGCAGCTGAACGAACTATTGATACCATTTTAACAGATGCTAAGATATGCAGCACTGCTCAACAGATGCTAAGATATGCAGCACTGCTCAACAGATGCTAAGATAGGCAGCACTGCTCAACAGATGCTAAGATATGCAGCGCGTGGCAGCCTTAAATTTGCGAAATCCTTGTTAAAATATTCATGTTTCAGGGTATTAACTATAAAGTG